AGTCCTGCATGCGTGGATGACGCGAAGAGAGTGCACCCTCAGAGGTCGGATGTGCACGTGTGCATGGAGATGTTACAATCGCTGTAGAGTGTGGGCTGAGATTCGTCCACATCTCTGAAACCTAGTCGGGTCACTTTTAGCTTCATTGGTCCGCCAAGCACGCAGTGGCGACAATTGGCGAAAGTCAGGCCCCACAGCAGCAACACCATCACGAGAGCTACCATTCACTTCCATCACTGCAGTCAATCAAGCCACTTCTTCGTCTCTGCGTCAGAAGCACTACCGCTCATAAGCAAGAGGTGTCACCACTTTTATTTCATTGAAGGCTATTCGACCAGCCGGTTTACTTGCAATGGAAAGTGGATTCTGTGTTTGTGACTGTCCTTGCCTCCAGTCCCACCTCCAGCCGCTACAACAGTTTACTCACCGTCTTTGGCACACCAGCACACAGGAAGTGGCATTAGCATCATCCATGTTTTGGTGGGTTGTGCTTTTGAGAGGGCGCTTTGTTAACATTGTTTCGATTGCCCGTCGACGGATCTCTCGCCTCCACAATCCGCTTAACACTTCATGTGTGACCACAGTCACTTCGCTAAGGAACTTTTCCAGCCTGGTGTAGTAGTAGTAGTAGTAGTAACCCTTAAAAATTATTGCCTCTACTTCCTTCATTCTCTCATTCCAAAAAAAGGAAAAAAAATGGGCCATTTTGGAGGAGGCACAGTGCACTGATGCGCCAAACCACCCATCACCACGTTAGTTACACTTTTTGTCTGTGGAGTAAAGTTTCCCAGCTTAATTCACCTCACACTCAGGCATTCTCTTCTCAACCTACCAAAAGTGGCTTGGAGTTTTCGTTTGCATAAAACCATGTAAAGTATACAAACCTTAATTGAAACCTTCTTCAAGAGTACTTTGAGAGTGCAAAGAGGGTATTATGGAAAACGAGGAGGACACAACTCACCAATGATGAGTTTGAAGCATTCAATGCTGTTGGGATAGTTGCGTGGATAATTTGGTGACTGAAAGACGTAGTTTTTGGCGTATTTTCGTCCAGTCATAGCAAAGTCATTTCCAATCGAGAGGTTGTTGAAGATGTCCGCTGGCGAAGCTGCCTTGGCGCCTTTCAGTACTACCTTGGACTCCACAAACTCCTTACAGACCTCAGTCTGAGGCAATAGGTCCTCCACTCCGACTGAAGAGGCAATCCGACGGTGACGATGTAAAATGGGAGGGACAATGTTGGTGGTGGGGATGGTGGTAGTGGTGTAATTGAGATTGGAAAAGGTCCGACTGGTGAATACAACCAGAAGGGTCCAAATGAGCACTTGAAGTCTGGTGGAATTCATCGGCAATAGTGGAATAGTTGACATCTATTACAGAGAGTAAGGAAAAGTTCTGAGTTTGCAATTTTCACTACCATTAACACTTTATCCACGACGACTTGCTTCTCCACATAGCAGATAAACGTGGTGGACAAGGAGTGAGTTAGCGATGAGTGCCTTCTTCTTCTTTAAAACTGATCACACCTGATTTGACGGGCGTGGAATGGAGGACCTTCCCAACCCCACTAATTCCACTGTACAGAAACCTTCGGTGACCTTTACATCCACCTCCTCCCAATGTTCCAGACATGTGGTTCATTATTTATGTGATCATGTGATTTTTAGGTGTAAAGAAGGTAAATGCGGTCCAGGGGCAGGAGGCAAGGGGAAATCTAGTTTGCTAGTATGTTTTTGGGGGCTAGGATTACCTTTGCAGTAATCTGATCCCAGCTGTGGCTTGGGATCAGAAGGACTGGTAGAAGGGAAGAAATTCCATTCATGATCCTCCACACACACACATTAAAAGCAAGCATTTTCATGTGAGGATGCAGCCATTCCGTCCAATGCTACCACATTACTTTCCACCTTCCCAATGTATGCAGGCAAGTGAAGCACACGACCCAGTCAGACACTCCTGACACCTGATATCCAAGTCGCCTTCACCAGTTAGTGACATAAATCTCCCTACACGAAGTAAAAATGAACCAACTGGTCACAGCTTGTCACAGCTGCCTTCTCTACTGGGCACTGCTCACCCACCACAAAAAAATTTTCACAAGTGGAGGAGTTAGTGTGCATGGGTAAAGCGCACAACCTCAGATGACATGGAATTGTAAGCACGTTTTTTTGTGCACTTTGTGAATAAAATACTACAACACCCTAACACCAATCTTTTTGGTTACTCAAAACACATACGAGTAAACAGTGTAACTTCAAAATTAAAACAACTTCCTCCTCCTCTCCCCCCCCCCCTTTAATTGCAGTGGAAGACACTTTTAACTTGTCATTTTGACCCCTACTTTGCGTGGGCATGCTGTAATGTACTTTTGTAGGTCAGAGGTGAAAGTTCATCGCAAATGCTGACATGACCTCCTGCCTACATTGTGCAACTTTGGGCCTAGTAAAGCACTCAAACGGCGGCAGACTCCCAGTAAGGTCGAGGCTACTCAATTGGTAGTAATTGGGAGCCATGAGAGGGTAAATTAACTATGGGACGGACGGAGGACCAAAATTTCCCTTCTTCCAACTTAATAACGGTCCAATTTTATGACCTCAACGAGGAGGAGAGGTGAAGCGTAGTAGTCCGCACCCGAGTGTCTAAAAGACCCATGAAATGCGTCACCTTGCGCCACGCAGACGATATTACTGAGCTCTGCGCCACAGGACACTTATTTTTAGTTGTTTTTCCCCTTTGCGTCCGCATTCTTTACTTTTGTTCGCCCTTGAGAGAGGCCATTAAAAACGGCATTGTCACGTGAAGGTAGGCCACATTTTGAAGGCGAGGGACAGTCAAGTCGCTTGACAACCGGAAGGTTGAGTTGATTGCTTTTGCCAGTATTTGCCAATGCATACACACTTTTGGTGTAGCTTCTAAAAAGGACAGCCTTAGGAGCCTTCTTTTTCGTGCCCTTTTGGAGGCAAGTGGACATATCGTCGGTATGCACAGCTGCCAAGGCAAAAATGCAAGCGATGCACAAATCACCGAAGTCATCGTTTGAAGTAAAAAGTTGATGCATCAAATCACTTTCAGGGTGATTACACCTACTAGAAATAAGATTTTTTAACCTTGCAGACTTATGGGGTGAAGGAAGAGAGCAAAATGTTTAAGTAGACATTCTTGATTTCCTTCACAGCGTTAAAAAGCTTTGTAATGGGAGTTGCTTAACTACTACACACAATTGAGTTATTCCTCCTCCTCCTCCTCCTCCTCCTCCTCCTCCTCCTC